CGTAGAGGGCCTATGTTGATTAGAATACATCGTCACTTAGGAAAATAATGGTTTCGCACCTCGTTATCGATGCAGAATGTCTCGTCGGAATGCTCCACCAGCTGATGAACAGACAATGTGGCGTTGTATGGCTCCACCACTGTATCCGAGACCTTCGGCGAAGGTGCCACGGAGAATGTGGCCATCATGCGATCCGGGAATTCCTCACGGATCTTCGAGATCAAAAGAGTTCCCATACCGGAACCCGTACCACCTCCAAGGGAGTGTGTGATCTGGAATCCTTGCAGACAGTCACAGCTTTCGGCTTCACGACGAACTACATCCACAACAGAATCAACCAATTCAGCACCTTCCGTATAGTGACCCTTTGCCCAGTTATTTCCCGCGCTTGACTGGCCGAATACGAAGTTGTCTGGTCGGAAGAGCTGTCCAAATGGACCAGCACGGACGGCGTCCATCGTGCCGGGCTCCAAGTCCACGAGGACCGCACGGGGAACATATTTTTGGTTGCCGACCTAGTGAATTGGTGAGCGGCAGTAGTACATGCGATTTAGAGAAGCTTAGCTACCTCATTGAAATAGACGTTCATCCGCTCCAGTTCTTGGTCGTTGGAACCAGTGTACCTGAGAATCGATTAGGAAAAGTCCGTCACGTCATAGCCCATGTTACTCACATTCCAGACGCGTCAAGGCCATGTTCGCCGGAGATTATTTGCCTAAAAAACGTCAATATTCGTCCCACCAAAGACACCCTGCTTGTTAAGCATGTGAAAAGGATGATTAATAGTGGACTTACCAGAAGGCGGTACCAACTTGGTTACCCTATAAAAAAGAGCGCGATGACTCAGTTATCTTCCATCAAATAATGCAAGTGGTTTACTTACACACTGGCCAGTTTGGAGGTGCACCTTGAGGGAGTTAGCATTGTCATGTTGATCACGTTGGAGATGGAGCGGCGGGGGAAGAGTGGGGAAAAGAAGAGCTCCGTGACTGCCCCAAACAAACTTACGATCTCACGCATTGTGGAGAAGGATGAAGTATCGTGATACAAAAAGGTATTAGGGGGTAAGAAAAAGGGATTGTAGGGGAGACGATGGGATTGAGATAGGAAAACCGGGGGTAGAGGCGACGTTGGGCAACGAAAAAGCGGGAGGATTTATTGGGAGAAGAAAAACAAAACGATAGGGGAAACCGTGATCCGTCAGGTGTCCGCCAGGCGATTGTGTTGCAGTTTTATGTAAAGTCGTAAGTAAGCTGTGCATTTGGTGCTAACGGCATTTTGACACCTTCTTTTTGAGCGGATTTGTCTGGACCTATGGATTCATTCGATTCTTCCAGCCTTTCGCCCAAAGTACACTAGTCCCAACTTTGCTTCTTGTCCGTGTTTTTTTCCCTTTCTTTTTTTTTTTTTTCCCTTCTCCTCGTGTTTTCAATAATCAATAATATTTACAACTCAACGGCTTAATCCTGTTCAGAATTGAACTGATAGGCGACAAGAGCAAACAATAATAGAGCGAAATTCGATGTTGGTCCGCGGGTACCCGAGAAGATATTTATATAATTTGTAGCCACTTTTTCAAATCCACTCTAAATACTGTACAAAAAGACAACGAATGTATACGTATCGTGCTCACCGCTCCATTTTCGCCCTTCTTATCTTGCACCGTCCTTTTGAGAGAGTTCGACCGGATTCGGATTCGGAATCAGACCCGGGATGCAGCAGCTCAGGCACCTTGCGAGTCAGACAATGGAATCCCTGGAGGACCGTAACCCTAGTCGACAATGGTTCCCTACGCTAACCCAACGTGGCCTAAAGGTCACCACCCCCAAGACTGCCAGCAATTGTCGCTTAGAAATGTGACCAGGCTGAAATTAGAGGGATCGGCATGCTTTCCTACAGCTTGGATGACTTTGAAGGCTATTTTCAATAAGGTCAGACCAAAGGATTGGTACGTTAACCTACTATGGTTCACAGGTAAAACGCAGAAAATAAGAGCGGTTTCGTGTTCGGAAGGAATGCCCTGAGTAGATATCTCAATATGGATGCTGAAGCACCATCACAGATGTACTCATGGCTGACGCTGTTTTGCTGAATTCTCTGGTAGATACATGGGCACATGCTACATTAGCCATGCTTAATCAAGAGCACCATGCCTGTATCCCTACGATTGATGATCATTCTTTCATTCTCAACGACAATGTAAACCGTATATTTCACCTAGGAGGTTATGCAGACAAGCGATCTTACAGTCACGTTGAACGAATAGTCCCAACTAATGCATTTACCATCTGTCATGAGATTCATTCCCCCACCCCGGCCAGTATATTCACCGTAGAAATATTAAAACGTGCCTCTGTAATGTATGGTCTATTGTATCTAGTGTTAGGGTCTTCAGACTGGAGAGAATAACCTCACCTTGTGCCACTAGACGCGGTAACCGCTATGATTTCTGAGGAACTAGTTCCTGCATCAAGTTGAAGAGCTGATACACTGTAACCTCGAAGCATCTTCACAGGGAAAATGCGCCATAAATGTTGCGTAAGCGCGAGTGGAAGGCACACTCGCAGCATCAAATCGAGAGTACTGGCAAGCATACCCGAAACCGTTGTCACGTAGGGTTGCTGGATAGAGCTGCTTCGACTCTGCTGGCTGGCTAGGCAACAGAGATAGCAAGACTAAATGCATGCATGCGTCAATAATGGTGGTTAAGTGTGATTCCAGCCACAGGACAGCGCCAAGAATCAACGATGTGCTCAATCTCCGGCAGACAACGCCCCTCTTCGCGACGGTCCTCCTGTTCGTGTTCCTCCAGAGGGTATTTCAGCCAAGGAAAAGACGCCTGGTGCCACTCGAAAGACGGAATATCAATCTTGTGTACTGGCTTGGAGCGAGTAGCAGACAGACTAGCAATTCCACGACTGTGGAAGGAGTTCTTGAAGCTGAGGATAGCCAGATCTGGGGATCTGGGCGCTTGATTCTTCATGACAGATTCCTGCTTATGCTCAGACCAGGGCGCATCTCCTCTTTGCTTCCGGCGATAGACCATGAAGGCGGCCTTGTAGGCTAGCTCCTTGGCCTCAGATCCCGACTGTGCTGTGAAAACCTGGGTGCATCCGCGTGGAGCCGCGCGCATGAGGCCATTGCGTAACAGATTAAGCCACTGCTGAGAGGAGAAGTTGCCAGTTACTGGACGGCTAACTAGGGTTGAAATCATTGCCGGTGATTGTGCGGCTTTCAACAGCGTGCGGTTGTTTTATCCCACAGGGATTGAGGCAATCTGAGCGTACACATCGAGATAGGTGCGACTAAACTAGGGGCATAAGTCATCTAGTTTCGACTTAGTAGCATTTGTTAACGGACCGGGAACGGCCGTCTGCATAGAAGGTACGGATAGTTCAGGAATGACCGTCATCTTAAGACTTAGAGATACGCAAATATAGGCAGAGTGGATGTTTTGCTTTCCAAGATTGAATCTAGAAAGCGGACTTGTGTAGCCGGCTTCTATTCAAAACATCGATCCTGACAGCTTTCCGAGCTCTTCCCGTCATCCGGACCGGAAGTTTGCTCGAGTGACTCACGATACAGGTCATTTTCAAGTAAAGAGACACCGGCTACAAATTTAATATACAAAGACCTGATAATCTGACAAGAATAACACCCGAGCCGGGAGTCGAGAAGAAGTACTATTTCCCCGCAGTGAATTACGGCCGGGTAACTGCACCCGGGCCAAGGACTATACAATGTCATACATATAAAACCCCACAAGAAGAACAACACAAAGTCATCCAACAACTAACATCATTCTCCCATCCCTCCAAAACCAAAACCTCAAGATAAACCACCATGTCCAAACTCACCAACTACCGCCTCCTCTCCTTCGACGTCTACGGTACCCTAATCGACTGGGAAACCGGCGTCTGGAACGCAATCCAACCAACCCTAGCCTCCAACAACGCGCCAATAACACGATCAGACTACCTCAAGCTCTACCAAGAGCTCGAAAAAGCCCAACAAACCAAGACCCCAGACATGCCCTATTCACAACTCCTCTCCACAATCCACCCGCAAATCGCCTCTCGCCTGGCCCTTAACCCGCCTACCGCAGAAGAAAGCAACCGATTCGGCGAATCAGTCGGCCAGTGGCCTGCGTTCCCGGATACCGTGGAGGCGCTGAAACGTCTGTCGAAGCACTACAAGCTGGTCGTGCTTTCAAATGTGGACCGGGAGTCATTCCAGAAGACCAATGCTGGCAGCTTGCAAGGGTTTCCGTTTGATTTGGTTATCACGGCGCAGGATGTGGGGTCGTATAAGCCTAATGTGGCTAACTTTGAGTATATGTTGAAGGCTGTTAAGGAACAGTTTGGGGTCGAGGCGGAACAGGTGCTTCAGACGGCGCAGAGTCAGTTCCATGATCATCACCCTGCGAAGAAGATGGGGCTTAGGTCTTCTTGGATTGAGAGGCCGGGGGCTTTGATGGGGAATTTGGAGGATACGGTTTATGATTGGAAGTTTGATACGCTTGGAGATATGGCTGACGCTGTTGAGAGGGAGTTGTAGACTGGTTTGTTGGTCTTGGTTTTCATCAGGGCGTGCCTCTTAATAATCAGATGCCGATTGATTTGGTGATTCCTTCTTAGAGCGAGTGTAGCGAATGTCGTAGGTGTAGTTCATTCTTTGCTATATATTCACATACTGTGATCTATTACGACATAGCAACTACAGCACTAATCCAACGGACGCCGTCTGAAAGGCCACAGAATAACTAATAGACCTAAATTGGACTGGAAGTACTTACCGATATACTACACCGGTAATTAAGTCTATGAAATAGTACTCGAGTGAACAGCTAGCTAAGAACCTATAATAAGTGTGGTGTTCGGGAAAATATATGAGGCTGTTGAGCATACATAGATGTAGTATGTACATACAAAGGTTGTAAACATACCTCTCCTTTTCGGCAGATTAATAAGCCCTAAAATCTCGGATTTTTTCAACCTGTTGGGGCGCTGGCGCAACGGTAGCGCGTTGTAAGTTACCATTACTTAATTACACATAAAGAAACCTCATTCTAACAATTATCACAGCGACTCCAGATCGAAAGGTTATCCGTTCAAATCGGGTGTGCCTCAATTCTTTTTTTCTACTTTTCTTTTGTGGGCCCTGTACTGTTTGTTACTACTATGGTGGAGATCTTGAAGCATGTACAGTCTTATTTCTATCCAGTATCTTTCTTTTTTGAATTTTTCTATCGGAGGTATTTTTGTTAGCCATTCATGTCCCAGAACGTGGTTATACTCTTGAATCCGGGTACAAGCACCCGAGCCCTAGTTCACTGCTCTGGTTGAAGTACCAAAAAAAAAGCAAAAGAAAAAAACGAAGACGAAGAGAATTCAATACGGCAAAAATAGATACGTAACGAGGAAATAGAAAATCAAAGAAACCAATCCATATAGAGTGAGACAGAGAAGAAGAAAATCCTCCCATGTAACGACCGGAGATAGCCATTATTGTAACATACATAGCAAGGCCTAATGCCTATTAGCATTTTCCTCCGCCGGATCCACCCATCCAGATACCAACAACAAGAAGCACTACTCGAGTACGGCAACAATCATCCGAGTATAGAGACTACTTACCGAACATGTCTTCGGATACAAACATCCACTTCGAAACTCGGCATGGACCGGTTCCCCTTCCCAGTCCGAGTGGATAGTAGGCAAGACAGAGTAGATTTTTGCTGAATATAAGCTATAGCGTCGAATATGACCGGAAATGAGAGGTATCATTTTCTGCATAGGTTACAAATCTTACGTTACAAGTGCTGGACATCTGGGGGAGAACTATGCCCAGCCGACCGTATTAGCGGATATGACGCATGATATGCGACTGGCCTCTGAGGAGACGTTTGGAACTGTTGCAGTTCTGTTTGCATTCGATGAGGAGGGGGGGGGGGGGGGGGGTAAGTTATTCGAGAGGCGAACAGGTGTGAGGTTGGTTTGGGCTTTATATCTATACTCGGAGCATAAGAAGACTGTTCCCTGTCGCCGAGGCGCTTGAGGTTGGCATGGTGGGTGCGAATACGGGCATCATTAGTAACGTGGCAGCTCCGTAAGTGACCCTTTATCTGGTGATCATAGTGGACCTTCTGCTAAACAAGTCAAATAGGTTCGGTGGTATCAAGGAGAGCGGGTTTGGACGAGAGGGAAGCAAGTATGGAATTGATGAGTTCACCCATGTCAAGACCATTACAATTGGAGGCCTGGCGTAATCGTCGTTGAAAAAAATCTCTCTAGCTACTATAATTTTGGATTGAAGGGTGAATAGAACAATATTCGAAAAATGGTATATGGCTATTCATTGACATGTTAAAAGATGTGCTTCAGTATATAACATCTTAATACTACTCGACCAAAACACCGTATGGCACTAAGGCCGTGCCCTGGATTATCTACTCCTAAGATAACATAATAGACTCATACACTCATGCTACCAAAATAGTCACCCCAACTAACAAGCATCTACGGTAGTATAGATCATCCAATCTGAGGTCCTTGCGTATGTTAAACTTTGTGCGGGGGCCCAGTTACAAGCTTCAATCCTGAATAGAAGGATTCGAATTTGCCTGTATGGAGGACTACATTGAGACAGTACCAATGCCCGTTGCTCTTATTTTATGATGAATCGGTATCCTTTAAGTGGCGTGGAAAAGTCATCATTGCCCTTATCTTGCCTCGTATTTGGTTGCTGACAACCTAGTGAGATTTGTCGCAACTGTTAGTCGTACACTCAAACTTCTACATGATTGAAGATAGACTTTGCGGAAGTGGTTGAATCATCCAATGTTAGTCGAATGCAACGATCCCGTTCATGGTATTGTACACAAGAAAATATCCTTTAATGTTCCTTAGTTTGGGCTAATGGTAGCCGGCGTCAATCCTCAGGGGTTTGGTTCTGGACGATAATGAAAGGTTTACTACTCCCAGGAAGTCTGTCACCTCCACCCTGAAAGTATCTCTGTGTCACCAGATATCAAGACTGAGTTCACATATCTGACAGTTACAGTTTAATCAGTCACGCCTTCGTGACAAGGCGGCTTGATAGATCTGGCCTTGTATGATATGAGATATGACTCTGACAAAACCTGAGATTACCGTGTGAAATTCACACAAAGCAAAGACGTAGGCCTCTCAAGCGTCTAATACTGTCCTCATATCCCGCCGTCAAACGGGAGCATCCGGGTTTAGTGGGAACGTTGGTAGTGGTAAGTCATCAGGCCAAAGCATTGTTGGCAAGCTTTCGCCAAACTGCATCCCTGTTTCTGGGAGAGATGCAAAAGCCCCAAGCTCCTGAGGAAAGGAAGAGAAGAATCCGTCAAAAGATCCGGTTGGCAACTGCGCATTTTCGAGTCCAATAGGTTCAGGTTCGTCCCCCACATTGGACGAAGGGGTTTCGGATTGCCATAACATAGCCCAGCGTCTAAATTGGTTGTATCCGACGCCTGGTTCCCCAGAGGCTGTGTCTTCATTTTCGGCTCGGTTGTCCAGACGCCGTGCTGCGCGCTCAAGCGCCTCGATAACTGCTACTTCTGAACGAGCTGACTGAAGGCCAACGCACATCCGGCGTATCAAACTCATGCCTTGAGTAAGTGCTCCACGAAGCCGCTCCGTTCGGGTATTCAAACTCTGGGCGATAATGGCCAAGAGCGCCGCACGGCAGGCGCTAAATTCGGTATACGAAACTCGTGCTACACCGACAGTGTCCTGTAATAATTGGCACAGCTCGACGATTCGGAGGGCAGCCTGGACGCAGTCAAAGCACAACATTGTACCAGCATCTACGGTTGAGTAGGAGCCGCCCTCAGCAGAGGCCGACGAGCTTGGCGTACCGGCAAGAATCAGGGGACGACCCATGTACATGATTATCGTAGCGTACGTAAGTTCCAAGTGGACATTATAGCGGAAAAGTGGCTTAGAAGAATCAAGGTCACGGCAGTGCACATCTTCGGGCAGGGTGGCCCACCAGCTCCTGAGTTCATTGCGGACGTGTAGAAGCTGCTTAAGATAGATCTGATGCAGCTCCCCCGGACAATTTCGCAGCCGGGATCTAGATATCCATTAAAAAGATCAGCAGGTGGAATGACTTAATTAGAGATTAGGTTCCTTACATGATGGGTGCAACCTTTGCAAGCTGCTCAGTTAGCTGGAGAGTAGCAGTGAGATTGGGTAGATTTGTGACTCGGCCAGGGGGACGCAATTCGGGTATGTCTTTAGGCATGTCACAGTCTATTTCAGTTGGAGACACGGAGACTGGGCGCCCGTGAAGGATGCTGATCCGTCTATGTTTGTTATACAGTTAGAATGGAGATAATAGCTAGCGCTAATGTGTGCTTCCTCACCTATCCAGTGCATACGCAGACCACCAAAGACGGTTCCGCAACTCAATCGTGCGCGCATCTAGACCTTCCCCCCCAAATTGACGATGCATACCATTCTGGATAGCCATCTTTATGGCAAGTCCAAGGTAAGTGTAGGCAAGGCCGGAGGTATCAATCGGCATTGTGTAAACCCCGAATAACAGAAACGCCTGGACAGTTTCGACGGATGCAGTGGTAATAAGGTCGGGAATCAGGCGACATGAGAACCTATAGAGCGCCAGCCCAATAGTATCATCAGGTAGGTGATCTTCACCGGACATACTCTGCAGGTATGGAGGCCGGCTAGCATGCATGTAAGCGAACTGAGTCCCAGATGCGAACGTCATGAAAAGGGTACAGATCCAGCCGGCGTCGTTGATATCTAGGTACCGATCCTCAGCATAATAGTAGTCTAACTTCTGCCGGAATTCTGTTTCATCGAAATAGTAATAATTCGTCAGGGTATATTCAAGAAATGTCTCCAACAAAAAATCTGCAATATGTCGCGGCGGAAAATACTTCCTGGCTGAAGCAATAATTGAGCTAGGAGACTGAAGACCAGTTGCACGGAAAGGGTCATGAGCTGTGTGGGAGTCTCCCGTCTGAATACGGTCGTCAGCATACACATGAGGACATGGAGCCAAGCGAACATTACCATGCTATCGTCGGGGTCGTTTCCCAGGCTTTGTAATTTCCGGCGGATCATGCGTGAGAAGTTCCAGTGAGAGAATTCCCCAGAGTAGACTGTATACGGGCTCCAGGTAAGATATTCGGCATCTGGAGAGAGAGCTACGTCCACCATAACTTACTCATCGTATTCGTGGAAAGCGGGTGAATAGAATAGAGCTCACTCGACCCCGGCGCTAGGGGAGAAGGCTTCCTTGAGTCTACTTGGTCCCTCTCCAGAGCGTCCGCAATGAATTGAAGGTTTGACGGCTCAAATGATATATCGCCCATGAAATGCCGCACTATCCTTTCGAGACATCGTTCCTTATCCGAGTCTCGTTGCGGGGAGGTGCTAGCTCTATGGTAATGTAAGTTGAGACAAACAACTTTCTGACAAACCATTGTTTCACCATACCTTGTGGTGCCATTACTGGCTAGCTGCGCAGGGGCCTGGCTGTACTGGCAGTTTCTCTTGTACCGTTGGCATCGCAAGCAAGGCATTCCGCCCTGACCTGGAGTAATCAGCAAGTGTAGCAAAGAAAATATATGATAAACAAAGTCTACACATTTCTCTTTATGGTATCTGCATGGGTTGCATCTAATATAGAGGTAAATTGTCAGCTTTCAACATATAGAGCGTATGCATTCGTTGGCCGAAATTTATATGAATACTTACGCTCGCGCGGCCCTCTTCCGCAAAGCGTCGGGAACCCTCGGTCGCCTCCGGCGGCCCACCGGCCTGCTATTCTGAGGCTCTGTCATCACTTTGATATAGTACTAGCAGCCTGACCCTAAGATAGGGCATCAATGGGGTCTATAAACATTGCCAAGGGATTAACACTGAGGAGGAGTGCGGAAGAGAAGTGACGATAGTGTGGGGAAGCGACTGGAACCTAATTAAGGTTATTTACTACTTTGGGGTTAGCGCCGCTATCATCTCTACATCTTGGAAGTACTGAATGCGGACATCAACTACGATATTTTTGTCGCTTGAAAGATAACCCCGATCTTATAACCGGGTTGATTGTATCGATTAATCCAAGATAGGGT